ACCCGAAGGTTCCCGTCAGAACTGTTCAGTCTGGGTCTCCAGCTGTTACACTGACTGATGCTAAGCTGCATATGTTGAGTGTATAGCATCATTATAATCAGCTATATGGATGAGATCTCAGCAGCTGATTGGATGAGTTGGGTTTGGGGTTATTGAGGACGCTGAATCCATTTATGATTGTGATTCATTCTGAGGTTATTGATCTGATTAATACTATTGTCCAACATATGCAGGTTAGCATGTGTAACTGCTGCACTCAAAAAACGGACTTTTTGGTACTGTTGAGTTAAAACTCAGGAAAATGTATTTTATGACGTCAGAAAGCAGCTGGAGGAGACGACGCTAAGTTTCACTTTCAGTTTCCGGCGGAGTGATTAAAACCGACGCACTGCTGACGGAAAAGGAATAAAAAAAAAACAAGGAAATGTCATTCATTCATTCATTATTATCACCTGTGGGAAAAAGTCAGCAGGCCAAACAAAGGGAAGGCAGCAGGACAGAGGTGAAATACTGAAACACAAGAACTCAGGCCAAGGATCGACCAAAGGACGCCACTGTTGAGAATGAATGAATGAATGAATGAATGAATGAATATAATAATTTAATATTGAATGTTAGATTTTGATGTGATATTTTTGAGTTTATTAATGTAATGTTAAGAATAATTTGAAATGTTTAGACACATCATCAGTCTAATTTGCCTATCTATGGTTTACTTTGTTACTTCATTAACTCTTGTAAATGATAACTTGAGTCTAGTTAAGAATTAGTTAAATTAGTAGAAATTTTTAAATGTGTAATTTATTGAAATAACTAATTTTGTTTAAATGAGCGAATTAAGTAAAACGTTTAAATCAGAATTAAGAAATCTTTCATTTATTAAAAGAAGTGATTTTGTTGCATAATTGCATTATATGGAAAATAATTGCATTTATTGTACATTTGTTTCTTTTAAGGTTATCAACCTATCTGTCTATCCAAATCTGAGATATATTGCATAATAAGCAAATATTTGGATTTGGAAGACTGAAAATAAAACAGACAAGAAGATTGAGTTGTCCCTTTGAATCTTTTGTAAGTGATCCATGCCATTTTTCAACTTTGAGCAGGAGCTGAGGCAAAACCTAGGAGAACTTGACAGGTAGTAGTAGATAGTAACATATATTAAATTAACAGTCATCATTTTGACATTGTAAAATTAAGATTCAGTGAGAACTACATATTTGATTCATGCAATAGATGAACTGTGTAAGAGTAGTAACTTTTATTACAGATTTAATGCTGCCAGGATGCGGCAGTGCTGCTAAAGCTTGCACACTGCTAATGGGGCTCATGTAGATGGGGGTCATTTTATGCCCTCAACCTTGTTCGCCCCCCCCCGGACGCTGCGGCACACTTTTGAGGTGGTTCAGGGAAAGATGTTCTGGCAAGCTGGGGATTGGGATTAAGGCTGTCCCCCAAAGAGGTACAAAGCGTAAAGTTAAGAAGGCCCCTGCTGTTTCTTAAAAGGGCGGGTACAGGTTAAACTTGGCTCCCTGGAGTTAACTTATTTTGTGGGAAGTTTGGGGTTCTCAATGGTTTTTTCCATTTTGACTACGGCAGCTGCTTGATGAAGGGGTAGAATGGAAAAAGTTCATGTTTTATTCTTAAACGTTCTTAAGCTGTTGGATCAAAATGTTTCAATGCATTGTTTTAATGCCATACTTAACTGCCAATTGCCCACTGTGTTTGAAGGGTTTTAACTGCAGTTATTTTTAAAAAACAATCACCGTTCGTTTTTGTCATTGATGAGATATGGCCTTTTAACTTTGTTTTGTCTCTTGGGTGGAAAGGGAAAAAATTAATTAAAATGCAAGTGTTACTGTAGATCGCTCGGGTTGATTATTTATATTTCATTTTTTTTCAAACTTTCCAAAAGAGCAAGTCTATCAATGGGAATATGCATTGATTTTGTTACATTAATGCCTATGTTTATATTGTTTTTCTTGTGGCTGCTGCGTTCACTGTTGAATTGGCATGATATACACATTTCAACTTTAATGTCGCATTTTTTTTTTAGTGGATGTCATTGGTGTTAATAACAAAATTACAAACATTTAATTATGACTATTGTATTTAAAAATGCCGTGCTTTGTCTATAAAATGTATGTTATAGGAGAAAATTTATCAATTTGATGTGAAACAGAAATTTAACCATCTGCATATATTAGGGGTGGAGATGAATATAACCTTTGCCCCAGATTCTGTCGCCTTGCACATGGGGGTTCTGTCTTCTGAGGCTACCTTGCCGTCAGCTTCCTTTTCGACCTCATGATTTCTCATTTTGCTCGTGACATTGCCCACTGTGGAGCTGTTAAGGTTTAAAACGGGTGTGCTGGTTATTCAGTGTCCCAATCAGTTAAATAAATACTCACAAGGTACTCCAATGAAATAAGGAGGCAGAACGCATCTCAATAATGCGAGTGTTTTCAGAATAAAGAAAGGACAGCATGTGATGTTTTAAATCATGTGTCACAGCAAAATGTGGTTCTGAATACTTATGACTAGTGATTTTCAGTTTTCTTTTTAAATAGTTCTACATTTCTGTTTTTTTCTGTCAAGATGGGGTGCTGAGTGTACATTAATGAGAAATAAAATGTTTTTTGATTTTAGCAAATGGCTGTGAATGAAACAAAGTGAAAAATGTAAAGGGGTCTGAATACTTTCCATACCCACTGTATAATTGACTTTACTCAGTTAAAATAAATATAACTTGTAATGTAGATATAATTAAATAACATTTACTTAATATTTTTACAAAAGTTTAGTTCAGTGTAAGTAAATTTTACTTGATACTGGCAAGTGAGTTGTACTTGATATTTCAGCAGTAATATTTACTTAAAAAATGTTTGTGCAAATTGTTATACAGCGATTATATTAAGTAAATCTTACGAGTTGTTTTTTTCAGTGTGGAGACCCAGACTGAATGTTTCCAACAGGAGACTCTGGTACAGTTCTGGGTCCACGCTGCTGTATGTCGACTGTTTAATAAAGACATCCAGAGCCGTTTGCTGACAGACAGATTCACTTGGTTTATTAAGAGCTTAAGAAAGGCTTGAGTTTATTCAACATCAGTGACAAAAGCATCAGAGCAACAAAACCACCTGAACACAGGAAGGAAAGCTGAACTGCGACCCCCAACAACTGAACACCGTCGATGTTTCAGCCTGCCGGGCAGCATGATGCAGACAGACAGCGTCATTTAGATCATTCAGGACAGGCTTTAAACTAGTTCCAGTTAGTTCTGAACTGGATTAGTTTCAGCTGGTTCTGAAGGTCCAGTGTGTAGGATTTGGTGCCATCTAGTGGTGTAGTTGCAGTTTGCAACCCCATTGCTCATTCTAAGGTAACAAAAACACGCTTATTTTCAGCTGATTATGATGAAAACATACTTATGCACATTATATTAATGTTACACACTGAAGCTTTACAGTGACCTTTCTTTAAACTGGTTTAGTTTGATTCTGAACTGGTTTAAGGCAGCATTAAACAGTGGAGGTGTGTGTCCGACTGTCTGCAGTTTCTCTCATGAATCGAATGGACTTTGATTGTAAATCCGACCAATAAAAACAGTCGATAACGAAACAGCAACTTCTCATCAAAATGTTGATTGTCTGAACACCGGCGGATGAGGGGAAGGCGCTCTAACTCTGTAAGAAACCTAAGGGTGAGAACTGGTCTGGGTTGGTTCTGAACTGGTTTTGGCTCTTAACTAGTTCAAATTGGTTCAGAACTGGTTTGCAATTAACCTCCAACTATAATGTGGTGTTGATCTAAACTGGTTAATAGCTGGTCAGGGCGGTTCTGAAATGTTGGTTTGGTTCTTAATGTTGTGGAACAGTTTCAAGTTGCTCCTGGACTAGTTTTAATTGGTTATGGTTTCAAGAACTGGTGTAGGAAGGTTTTAGAATAGTTCAGACTGGTGTAGTTGGTTCTGAACTGGTTTTGGTTGGTTTCAAGCTTGTTTAAGGTGGTTTTGCAATGTTACTGTTCACTCTAAAGTTGTTTTGTTCAGAACTGATTCAGGTCTACATTGAAATGGTTTAGGTAAATTCTGAAGTGGTTTTGAAAGGTTCAGTTTGGTTCTGAACAGTTTAGTTCAGAAGTGTGGGCCGGGTCTGGGACGTTTGGGTTGGTTATAAACATATGTGATGTGTTAAAAGAACAGTTACTTTACACGACTCATAAGGCAACAGGGAAAGTGTGAACTCCTTTCAGAATTATTTTGTGACCAGACCTCTCGTCCCAACTGAACCCGATTCAACCGGACCCAACACTGGTTCCAATGAGCCGACCACTTCTAGTGTTCTGTTGTTCAACTGTTACACAGTCCTTAAATATTCACTTTGAAACAGGGGGTCCTTACTTGTGCCTGTCCACCCCCCAGAATGCATCACTGTGCAGAACACAGGAAGGAAAAGGACGGAGACGACTGCCGCTAGTGTGCACCACCGTTACAGTAAAGGCACCAATCACAGAGCATGTTGGACAGCGAGTGTCTGACTGCGTTTACATGCACAAAGTTATACGTTTTTTTACAAATACAATATATACTGAACTGTTAACTAAGGTTTACTCTGATTACTGTCGGTCCTCCTGACTGCAGTCATGTTGCCCTCGTGGTAAAAGTGGAGCGGGAGACATTTTGTCTGCATCAAAGGAGGGTTTGAGCACCGCCTCCCTCTTTCAGTCTTTCAACCACCTTCTGGAAAACTTATTTGCTCATAACCAGAAACCTGTTGATATCTGAGTCTTTCATAATGTTTAACAGTAGAAATGTGAACTTTTCGTTGGTCCTCACAAACTGTTGATGCAGAGCTTCACTATAGTAAAAACCCTAAACGAGACTCATAATCCTAATGACAGTGTGCAGCAGATTGCTCGTAAAACCTGAATGACACTGGCCTGTTTCACATGTCTGAACAGGAAGATGCTCCATGTGGAAGATCTTCAGGATAGTAGTGGAAAATTAGTGTGCATGTAAACGTGGTCAGCGTGACACAGTGAACGTAAAGCTGAACAATAACTGAGTGAAAAGAGAGGCAGAGTATGAATCAGTGTGCTATCAAACTCACTAAACAAAGAATCAGAAAGCAGAATTCAGTCTTTTTCCACCGACTTTGCTCAAACTAGAACATAAAAAACTCAACGTGTTTCGTTTTCAGAGACTTTAGTATTCAACAATATAAACTGACATCAAAGCTAGAAAATGTTGACCCAAAGCTTGAGGCATCGCAGCCACACGACGCCAGACAGTTCGCTCCAAACAGGGCCTGAACCGGGCGTCCTCTCACAGTTCCTCCATCCCCCACTCTCGTTATAGTAGCTGTGATCTATTTCTGAAGCTCCTCCCACCGGCGAGCGTACGACTGTGAGGACACACCAGGTCTGATTTCTCCTGGAGTCGGCTGTCGGTCGTACCGTGCGTTCACACTGTGAGCAACACAATCACGAACCAAACCAGTGGCGGGGCGGGGCGGGGCTTTTCTCATCAACAAACATCACAAAGTCTCTTAAATCCAGAGTTCATCTGATGATTCGTCCATCCTGACTTTGGTACATTCTAGTGCCAAAACAATTCATTGATTAAGTGATTAGTTACTTGACGGAACATTAATCGTTAACAATTTGCTAACTGGTTCCAACTGCTCATTTACTTAAAGAATCATTTTAGACTCTGTGAGCTTGGACATTTGTTACTGTTTGATTTACCTGAAATGCAAATATCACACATACATATATACATATACA